ACTCTGCAGCTCTAATAGAGGGATGTAAATCAATTACGTCAGAATTCATTTAGAAGAGCCAGGCTAGATGGAACCCCTGGCGCCGGAGATTTGATCACAGAAGGCAAGTGTACACTGCCATCGACTCGCAGTTGATTCTAGATTTTGAAAGATTGTGCTTTAAGCCGATGTTGCTTGTTTTTGAACAATATGACATTCTTTTGGTGTGTGTGTGATGTTAACCGAGCCTCATGCATTCTCTTCATCATGTGTGTGTGTGTCTGTGTGTACAAAGGCTCTTTGTGCATATTGCGTTGAATTGATGCTGATTGATTTCGACAGGGTCTGGAGGATAGGGGATTGTGTGTGTGTGGTGTGTGTGTGTGTGCGTGTGTGTACGAGTTTGTGTGTTGACATCTGTGCTTGGTGTGGTGTGTGTTTGTAATCTGGCTATGAGTTGTTGTTTTTCCATTGGTGGTTGGTCGTTCTTGGTATCTCTTGGTAACGTTATCTCTCTCTGTCTCTCTCTCTCTCTCTCTCTCTCTCTGTTCCCCTCTCCTGCTCTTAAAGCAGGGCAAGAGACTGAGTTTTCGCCATCTCAGTACCCAAAGCAGGGGCAGAGGGTGTCAAACTCATTTTTTGTTTTTAGCTTGCCCCATGTACCACAGAAATGAAGCAATCAGAATGTGTGTGTGAGACTAAGCTCTATCATACTTGTCAGTGTGTGCACTTCACTGGACATGTTCCCTTTCTTTTAAGTGCCTTCATCTCTGAATGTGTGTGTGTTTCTAAACCATACTGTCAGGATGAAATTGCTGGAAAATGCCTCTTGAAGTAAGGAAAGTTTGAGCGAAATCATTTGGGATACTCAAAAGGAAAATAGTTCATAAACATACATGTAAATATTGTTTTTAAGTCTAAAAATAAAAATCAATCAATCAATCAATCAATCTTTCCTTTTGCTTTGACCATTGTCAGTGTTGTCTAATGCACCAATGCATTGAGCTCTATGAGGCAAAGCATTAAACTATAACTATGCATGCATGTTAACAAGTTTAACAAACCCTGTTTGCCATTGTGTCGAAACATATTTGAATTGCAGACTAAATTATATGACATATTACATATTAGAAAATGAGGATAGACTGGTTTTATCATTATATTGAGTGACACAGTGACAGGCCTATAATGACATTCTTAGAATAATTACACACATTAGATATCACATACAGCATAAATAGTTAAGCAGTAAAATCACCCTTCACATGCTAACTTTAAGGTTTGTGTTTGGACGATTTGGCAAAAAAATTAAATCTCGATTTTTTTTTTCCAGAATGTTTGACCGATTCTCGATTTTTTACGATTTTAACTAGTCAACTTAAAAATGTAACTACAACATGATTCAAGTAACTTTTTCTTTGTTAACCATCTAGTTAAAAAATATATATATTTCAAGTGCACCACACATGGTCAACAATGTAAATGTTAAACAAATCAGTTGTCAAATATCTTTGCAGAAAAGATGCATGAACTACAACTACATCTTGTACAAACTTGTCTTATACATATTATATGTTCAGAAACAATATGAGGAAAATGCTTTTAAAAAATCTCAAAAGTCAAGGTAATTCAAATTCAAAATGACTGAAGTTATAACACCAGTAGACTATTATTAACTATAAATGTTCTGTAAAAACAACAGCAGCTTTCAGCCTGTCACCATGATGCAAACATGAAATGTCAGACATACAGTAGGCTAGTAGTTCTTCACAAGTTTTTTATTCGATTGTGCTGCTTTTCCATTGTTATGTCTATGTAAACATGGACGCGTTTGACTGTTGGACTCGCGTCCCTTGCAGCGTCTCACGTGTGAAACGGCATTCTAAAAATGCGGCGCTCAAATTAAAACAAGTTCACTCCCATCTTCTTGCATTTTTTTCCTATTCCACTGCCCGCATCTTTGTCAACGCAAAAGTGCATTCTGTGTGAATGTCGCCTAGCGATATGAGTGCATCACACGTGAGCGGTTCATCACGTTCGCCGACATGCGGTCGGATCATTATTTTCTCTTTACTGTTATAATTGGCATATTGTCAAAGTGTCTAATTCTAACATTTGGTAATATTTCTATTCAAAATTTTGATTTCTCGATTTATAAAAAATAAAATCATGGCAAAACATTAAATTTGAATTAATCGATAAAATCTGAAAAATCGCCAAGCCCTAGTTTGGGTTCGTCTGTATATGGTATGTCCCAATTCATATAGCTTGATTTACATACTTGCGCACTGCGCATCTGAAAACAGTCCCACACAAGAAGATAAGTCATCTGTGAAGTGTCTTTTTCCACCATCTGGCCGAATGGTCTTGAGCACAGTAGCATTTCCAGTAGTTTCAGTATGGTGCGATTACAAACAACTCTATGGATGTATGTCTCAGCACAGTTAGCTAACCACACTCAGAACAGGCAAACCATGATGGAACTGCTAGTGACTCATGACTGGTCATGTACATTCTAATTCTGATTTATCAGCACCACAATGGAAAAAAGAAAGTGCAACCACGTTATTGAGCCCAGATCAGTAGAAAAGAGCAGTAACCAGTCAGCTGGTTGGTGAATAAGGCCCGGCCTTAAGGAAAAGCTTTTAAAACCCATTACAGTTTATTAAGCTTGGTTAATTGGTAGCTCAGTGGAAGAGGCTTGATTGACCATACCAATAATTTTAGTTTAGGTTATGTTTTTCCAACTTGTGCAAATTACCTTTTCCCATCCACTCTCTAAACTTTCCATTTCTCTTGCTAGAATGTATCTACACGATGTTGGGTTGAAACATGGTGCTTCTCTTTGATTGAATGTTGAGTGACATTCGACAAGGTGCTGTTGCCCAATTATTTGGTTGTTTAAAGCATGCATGCTCATTGTTGAAGACATCTGGAGGAGAGAAAATAAGGCCCGGGGTACAGTGATGTGTAGGCGCAGGTGTTTGTTGAGTGACGTAGGAGCTGGTATTGACCAAAGGCCAAAAAACAAACATTGGCTCTTCTTGAAACAAGTGACCATGTGAGTAAACAGCCAGAACTGGGTATGGGAACGTAGACAGGTTTGGAAGAGATCTCTGAAAGACAGAAATGAAGAAAGCAAGCCTCTAGAAGAGGTCGACTCAGCTGCTGATGTATTGACTCCTCAGAGCAGCCAAAGGAGCATCCCAGGTCTCTCCGAGTTACTCCCAGGAAGTAAGTTTTGAGTGTTGGAGAGAGGGAGACAGCTTCACTGATGGATGGACAGGGACAAAGGGAGGGAGGCAGTGACTGACGGAAAGAGAAAGAGCATGAGTGACATATCAGGAGGATAGTGACTAAGCCCGGCATGATGCATTGCATAATTACATTTTCTGTTCAAAGAGTATCGGCAATCAATAATGTAATTCATAGACAAGCCATAGCATACCCTCTCATTGGCATTCACCACCATGCCCGAGCCACTATCCTGAAGAATTAGAGCAGCGAGGAGCAGAAGGCAGTTTGTCATTGAAACAAAAAGTCACCCATTGTTCATATCAGAATATACTTACCCAGCATGCTCGGAGAGAGAGAGGGGCCTTGTAAATTGCATTATATTTTGAGTGATGGCTTTTAGGCAGTGTGTCCTTGTTACCGTAGTGTGGTCAGCACATTGGCAGGCTTGTGGAAACAACGTGGCTCAATTCTCGTTAACATCTTGCCATGGTTTTAGTCCTTTTAGTGCTTTCTTCAGCTATTCTCTTCCTTCCCTTCTAGTGACTCTTTTTTTGGGGTCAGTCTAGATCTAAAATGGCACTCACCCCCAAGTCCTGCCACAGTGCGTTTGGACGACAGCTGTAAGGCTGTTCTCACGTCGTCTCTTCACCTTCCAGTGCATCCCCGACATCCCGTAGCCAGGTGCCGAGGGGTCGAGATCGCCTCTGATAAACTCACACAGAGGCCACAGGGTGCTGGGATGTGTGCCATCCTTCCTAACCCCTCCAGCCCATGCTGCAAGTCGGAACAAATTCTCATTCAACCCAGACACATCTCTGGCATCCTTGGCGACCGAGAGGTTTGGGTTTTTAAGCTAATCTAAGCTCCCCAATCCTCCGGTGTTGTATTCTCACAGCTAATATGAGCCTTAGAACCCTGAGCAAGTAGGCGAAGGGGTCTGGAACTCCTGCTGGGTTGAGTCTAGATTAGTTCGGCCTACCGGTGGGACACAGCTGGTCTTGGTGTCTCTGATGGAGCGGTGGAACAGCTCACCCTCTCTGGCTGCCAGCGCCCTGTCCGCAGCCTCTTTGACTCGGCACTTAGCGCTTTAGCCTTCCTCTCACCAGCCAATCAGGCCTTGTTTATTTATTTAGCCCCTCATACATGTTTAATGAGGGAGGGGGAAACTGATCCCAGAGCAGACAGGCTGTAAATACCGCTGTGTGGGGGGGCTGTTTTTCTCTCTAATGGAGTGGGGTTTTTTTTAGCCAGATTGGTTTATACAGGATTTAATGGCTTGGTTCAGCCAGAGATCGCAGGCTGGTGCATTACTGTGTGAGGTTGTATCTTGTGATTTGTTTTTGTGCCTCGAGTTGTGAGCTGTAGTTTGACCCTCATGATTTGTATGTTTGTGTACTCGTGTGGGTCTCTATATGAAGATTGATTTTTCAATGGCTGATCCCAATACAGAAAACTAGATAGAACGGTGTAGGGTAATAAAATTGAGTTAAAATATATACACTAAAATAAAACATTTTAGACAATATTTGCTCAATTTAGTAAAAAAAATGTCTAGAGATACAAGAACAGAACTTCTTTCGGCAGATTTTGGATATGAAACCAAGTGTAACAAAGATTTTAATATTAATCAGCCAAATGGGAATGGCTGTTTTGGGAAATAAGACATGAAATTATGAGCAGAAGATTTAGGAACTGGATCAGAAAGACAGATGCAGATTCACATTGTCCACATGACCATCTCAGCACATAATCTAAAACTATGTCTCATTATTTTTCCGTTTCAGCATTGGCTGAAGAGAACAAAGCGGAACATCATGACCGGCCAATCGGTGACAGGCACCGCAGAGCGGCCGAAGAGTCCTACTGGGCCTACTCAGGTGAGCAAACTACACTCGCACATACATAGAGACACTTCCGAAAGAGGAACATTTCAATTTCTCTCTTTCAAAAGCCATTGTGTTCTGCTACCACTAAAACACAGGAACTGCCTCTGATAGACAGCTGGTCTTTCATCCAGAGCTGTCCACCTCACCCCCAGAGGCCTCGCCTTAGGGTCTCCCCTGGCTTTTGCTTTCATGAATGCTTTACTGTTGAGAAAGTGACTCATGTTGTCCCTCTGAGCCATATTTGCAGAAGAATAGCATTAATCTTTAACTGTGCCACCAAGCCTGCGGCAACCAATGATATTTATTTAATTTATTTAAATGCTTCCCCTTTTCCCTGCCGTGGTTTTCTCGTGTTTGCCAGCGTGACGGTTGGCCCTCTTGCACAGATGTGGCCTACAACAAACACTCAGGTGCCTGCACTTCTGTGATCTAGTGGTCTTTATTGTACATTATCCACCATTTAATGCCCTGCTAATGTGTTGAAGCATCTTTCAGAGGAGCATTTCTTTGTGGAGAGTCAATGCATTCAATGCCATAGTAGTGTCGGTAGTAAAGGCTTTTTATATTAGGCATTATGTGTAGAATTAAAGTATGCTGATATACTCTATTCAATTCCCTACTGAAAAGAGCTTGCAAAGATTGTAGTGTTAGAAGTCACAACCTCTGTGTGTGTGTGTGTGTGTGTGTGTGTGTGTGTGTATGTGTGTGCATATATTAGCACATCAAAGACACCTTCAGTCAAAGGATCTTGATGTTTTAGTGTTTTTATACATCTATTTTCAAGTGATAATTACACAGTCTAACATTTGAATACTTCCTGCAGGCTGACATTTGTCATCATTCTCTAGTGCACACGTTTGGATGTCTATGTTGGCATTGTCTGCCTGTGTCAGGGAAGCAAATTTGAAACTAGCTTGCTAAGCTGTAAGCTAATGTAGAAAGCCAGCTACGTAAAAGCTAGCTACTAAAAAATAGTGAGCAACCCAAAGAAAAAGCATTAAAAAAGATGGTTTCACTTTATTTTGATGGTCAATTGTCTTGTAATTGAGTATCAAATGGGACTACCGTATGTGTTTGTCTGAGAAAAGGAAGATCTTGAAGAACATTGGCTTGTGTCGTGTAGCCCAGCATTTCGGTCATTGAGAGGATTTCTTATGATAATGCCTTATTGCTTAGTACAGAACTGTAGGCCTATGTTAAAAGCTTTGCATTATTCCCATCAACCCCTGCTGTCCGGAGACAGGAGATGCTTTGTGCGCTTCGGTCAGGGGTTTGATGGGGTGGGTCACTGGGGCATCTGTGGCTGCTCCCACAGTTGCTGTGTAGTTTGCCCGCTGTGTACGCGAGTCATCTTTGACATCAACCTGTGCAGAGGAAGGGAGAGAGAGCATGCTATTTTTAGTCAGTCATGGATGGTAATGCAGCCAAGTCTGTCACAAGTAGATGCAATTAGTACATCCTAATTAGCAAGTAAGTTTTAATCAGTAACCTGGTGAAAAGAAGAGAACATGATGCCACATTATGAGGAAACTAGATTATTCATTAATACACAACAATTAATAATTATTACTCTTCAAGAACCGACAACCCCCTGCAGTGACATTCAAGTCAATGAAATGCCACTCATTGTTTTGTTCTTTATCGATTAATTTATTCAAAGATTGATTAAAGAGCAATTTGTGTATAGTAACTTGGATACACCTCTTCTATGATGAGCATGTTTTCAATTTCAGGATTAAAATTTTGGGGAAAGATACAAAAAGACAATTATGATTATGTCAAGGTCAGTAAGTCTAAAACCTAATGATATTTATAAAATAATAAATCAGGATATTCATATATATACTGTATATATATTAAATACATATGTGCATACAAGGTTTTTCTTTAAACCAATTCATTAAACGCTTAGTTCAGGTCAGTTATTACACCAATATTACTGCAGTCAATAACAACATTTAGCACTCAAGAGTTATTTAGAAAGCCCTTGGTTACTGGATTTAGTCAGTACTCTGGATACTCTATAAATACCAGTATATCTCTATTTTTTTTTCGTATCGACTTTTCATATCGGCATGTTTTATATCCCTAGTTCAGACGATCTTACAAATCCCTGTTTTGCTAATGGCAATGTGTTTTTATAAACACAAATCAATAAAACTGTAGACATGGATTCAGAGTCAGTGTGTGTTCCTGAGTCAAATCCGCCTTCAGGTTTTTTTATGCACATCAAGAGTCCTAGAGTATGCTAAGCAGGGACGTGCACAGACATTTTGAGGGGCAGGGGCTCAAGTCAGAAAAGGGCACTTCTCATATTTATTTAATTTTTTTTCTAAATAAAACATTAAATATATTAGGGGTGTGCAATATTGACAAAAATATCTCAATATTTTCTGGGATTTTAACGATAATTAGACGATATTTTGCTGAGTGTGTTATTGTGCTGATATCTAAAGGACTACCGTGGACAGCTGACTCTTTAAGTTTTTGATATTCTGCATATTCTGTGTGGTGATCAGTTCACAGCAGTGATAGAAATGAATCTTTTCCAATAAGTTTAAATAGATTTTTTACCCTTTATGGGCATTTTTACCTTTATAAAGTCATTTTTTCTAAAAGTCATCTTTTCAGTCGAATTCTTAAATTGAATCAGTCAATTAGAATAATAAGTCATTTGGGCTGTTACCAAGCAAATGAAATCAGTATTGACAAAATTAATATTTGCAATGCAGATAAAACACAGAAGCTGCATTAGAAGTGGCATTTACACACTGTTTAATGCAGGACATGAATGTATTCAACCTGCAGTTACAAATGCATTAATACTGTTTTGTTATTAATACTGATATTGAAATTATATATAAAAAAAAAAAATAGAAAATACTTTTAACTGTGAAACTAAAGCTGCCAGTAGGTGGCAGCAAGTCACTGTTAATAAGTGAGTCATTGCGACTGAACCGAATCATTTAAACGGTTGATTCATTTAGGAACGAAACACCGTCATGTTGCTCAGAGACGCAAATTGGAATTGTATTTGTTGGCGAAATAGAGCAAAAGCAGTCAATATTGCGTCTATTGTGTCTTAATATTAAATTCTTGTTTATTGAACTGCTGTATAAAATCAATATCACATTTGTAATCATGCTGCTTTTTGGTGGAAAAAAACATCATTCTTCACGTGTTACTGATTAACTATATGACATGATATAAATATATACATTTCTGCCCCGATATCTTGAATTTTGTGATTATTCTAAATGCATTTTCATAAACTGAATCATGCAGCGAAAGAACACACACTGGTCTAACCTGCTAAACTTTAGCTAACTTGCATGGCAGCTCTCATGAGTCATGGGCTGCGTTTACACTTGGCATTAACATGCGATCACCATGATCCGATCAAGCAGATCGGATCATCAGTCAATCAGAACAGGGCGCATTTACACTTGGCAACATCAATTGACTTTTCTATCTAGATAACCGATCAGATCTGTCTTTCCCGCGCAATATTTAAATAAGTCTGCAGAGAAAAGCATTTTCAGTCACGGGACATTTTATAAATCAAAGATAAGTGTAGGAGTTTAACTAGCGCTCCACATGGGTGTTCTCTGTCTTTTTTTCTGACAGTTCGCGAGAGAGGGGGCGGCGTTTTGCGTGATGTCGACCTGCGAATGCAGACACGATGGCTGGATTGCGTTTACATTACACTGAGATCCGATCACAATGCGTCCTCGTCTACCTCTGGACCAGGACACGCTGATCGGATAACATTCCGATCAGAAGTGCATTTACACTTGTCTTTTCAAAGTGTATGTGGACAACATCCGGATACAGGTCGCATGTTAATGCCAAGTGTAAACGCAGCCATGGATGTTAGGAAGACAAATTAACTATATTTGCCTTTTGTCATTTGGATAATTAGCTGTAAATTTGAGGCACAGGTAGCTTAGTCTTTTGTTCATCACCACTCACCTCCACAGCAAGACAAACACAACTGGAAAGGGAGGGAGGGCTTCACTTCTGCCGCTGCGGTTCTCTGTCTGTGACTGTGATGTGCCGATCAGAGTCTCAACATTTCCTGACCTGACCTGATATTTAGTTTTTTTATTTGTTTGACAGGGAAAGCTGTGCGCAAACAGTAACACACACACATATACATATATTAATTTATTTGAAAAAAAAAAAAGAATCTCCCCAGAAAAAAAGTTGACTTTCTCTTGAGGAAGAAAAAGGACATGTGCTCAAGCCCCCTTTGATGTCTATGTGTGCACGTGCCTGATGCTAAGCCTCTGTGATTGCATGGCTAGATATCAACATACACCCGTGTGTATTTATATCTCCACATGTGTTTTCTAGTGGTTATGCATTCATGTTTTCATGCATGTACTGCTCTGACTTCATCTGGTTGCTGAAAACACCTATCGCCTCTTGTGAGCAGAATGCTGTTGACGAGCACAGATGACTTTGTCCTGCAGGCAGATTTAATGAACTCGGCCGATAATCCTCACTCTGAGAGCGGCTCGCCGTCCTGTCAAGTGGCTTTACTCTGTTTGCGCCTTGCAAAGCTGCCATGCTCGTACCCTCCTGTTAGCCATCATTCTTAGCTTGCCCAGTTACAAAGCCCTTGCCGTTTTTGCATCAAGCTCCATTATCTGTTTATTTATTGCTCCCTAAAGAGCCCTGGAAATTATGCTTGATCAAACAAAACCCCTAACAACGTGTCTTAAGACTTCTCTGGGCTACTTGCGGCCCACTGGGCCAAATTTAGCTCGGGCAGTTTACACTTAAATATCGTTAGTTATTCTCATATTTCAATGTGGAATTGGTGAAATACTCCAAGGCACATTTTCTGCAGTGTTATTGTAGTCCAGTGGACATTCTTTGTGGATGTGGTTTAGGAAAGGGTTTTCATTGTTTGTCTAGCGTCTACATCAAACATAGTGAAAGTCATCATATTTCTTGAAAATTGTCATTTAGCTAGTTTTTATTGA